TGTTAATTTCAGTTTGTTTTTAAAATGTTTTTTTTAGTGCTCTAATATTATCTTGCAGATGGTAGATGACGTAACTGTGGATTACGACACCTACGATGTACCGACTGAAAACGCTGAGACCTACTGTCATAATAAGGAATGGACAAGTTCATTTGAAGATGACCCGGATGATGACCATCAAACGCTTCTCACTGAAATGGCTAAACCCGCACTACTTTTGCAGCCAGATATCCACGACCGCATGTGTGCCTTGTTGGCGATGAGAAGGCACTCTCTTTCCAACAAAGCTAAAATATTTCTACCACAGCCTCAGCACGTTCGTAATTCTCGGTCCGGTTCGTATTCAAGAACTAGCAGACCCCGAAACCTTGCATTGATGAGACACTCTGCTCTCAAATGTACGGAACTTGTTGGTGGGAATTCTAATAACACTTCCGAGAGATATCTGGATCAATGGCAATCGTGTAATCAAGAAACGTTTTCAGATTTCCGTGGTTTAGCGACCCGACTGGGGCTCTCGGCGTTAACCATATATTGGCTCACTAAACAACGGAACCCCGAAGCTCTACTTGTCGCGTTTTATTCAATTATTTGTAAAATAGACAAAAAACCGCTTAGTCGGTCCTTAAATGAGCTGCACCATCATTTCGATATGATCGGTCATCAGGCTGCACAGATGCTTTTAACTGGTTCCATTGAGAAAGCACTAGAAAGTGAAGTCGAGGAAGAACGAAAAGGTAGGTAGAAGGCGCTATCTCGTATGGGATGGCTTTCTGTCACGATCTTGTTTACACTGTTCAGGGGAGTCTCAACAACCATCCCAAAGTACCGTTTTCTGAGAGTTTTCGGCCTTTGCTTTCACCGCGATGGTTGCTATGCGGTGAAAATACCCGGATGTCCGCCTTCAGGCGAGTTCACAAGAATCTGATAGAAGAGTCATCTCCGGTGCCTAACTTTATCCAAGAAAAAAGACACAATTTCAAATTTTACCCTGCTAGTAATTTATTGTCAGATAAAATTGCGACTATTTCGATAGATACACTATATTAATCCATAATAGCGGGTGAGAAGGGCTAAAGTCTGCGAGTCACATGACCAAACTGAACTGCTGCCCTTTCTCATCCTCGTCACCTCAATACTGTATTAATATTTGTTTGATTGAATATGTTTCTAACTTAATCATTCTCATTTAATTGTTTCTTTATTAGAACACAAAAACATGTTCGAGGAATTTCTCGAGGACGAAAAAACAATCGAGCGCAGGTCATCGCTCACTACTATGAGTGATTATCTGGTGGACAGAGTTCGAAGAGAATCTATCCATTTGGAAGAAGATGAAGTGAAGGAAGAGCTCAACAGAGCTGCTATTAGACTGACTGATGGGTGTCAGCGAGCGGGATATGTACCAACAAAGTTAACCAGAATGGAAGCTAAGGCGCGAGATTTACAGGATAAATTAGACGGTTAGTACACATAGTTTTACATCGGTTGCAGTGACTGTAAATGCATTTTTTAATTACGCTGTTTTTTAATTACGTGATTTTTGTGGATAAGTGAATTTTATTAAATTAAATCCACATGAACTTGTAGAATAAAAATAAATCTCATTGAACTTAAAACCCATTGAAATTGCTCAAAACATCAAAATATTGAAATTAGATGCGGGTGAAAATAAATGGTCATGCAGTAAATTGGCCACAAGAGGGCGCTCGATAAACGTGTGCAGGGTACGTCGTCCCTTTACAGCACGACAAACGTGGAAATGTGTTTTACGGTTTATTGTTATAGCTAGATGTCAATGTTAACCAATGAAATACTAAAAAGTTAGATTGGAGTCCACATTATACAAATTCTCGCTTGTTGGGAGTTACGTTTTTAACTTACAAATTCTTACATAGTTGAGATTGAAAGTAAAAAAATCCCAGTAATATGTTATAGTCTGACATATTTCCTTTTCAGGAGAGATTGGTAGATTTACTGAGGCCACACTGTCTACTGTCGAAACACGACTATCTTTACTACGGCGCCATGTTCAGCAAGTCTTCATTACGGACACCATATTGGCGGAGAAATTCTTAAACGAAATCACTGATATTGAACTCCAATCGTCAATAGAGGGGGCTGTTCAAGATGTCGTGGAACTGGTGGGAGAAATAGACGCGCTGGAGGCAGAAATACAAGGTAAAAAAATAATCACGGGAAATAATTTTAAAATATATCTCACGATTTAGTAAACACTCAAAAAACAACGACTTTCAATATCGTTGCAGCCGAATCCCATTCACTGTGGAGGACATTGTCTGTATCCATCCGCGCTGCAATAACAGAATTGAGACACGTGATGAAGCGGGAAACTAAATATTGTCCGGAAGTGTCCGAACCTTGTAAAGATTCTCTGAAGATAATAGAATATGAGATACCGGCAGCCAGAACTTCGACACCAGACTTGGTGCAACTACAGAGGGCGTTTAATGACGTTGAGTCCCGATATAGAGGCAAGTAAAAATCATTGTTATTTGTGACAGATGATCACAAATTGTGTGAAGAGGGAAGCTGGCAACTTATAGTTCCGTTGCAATAATTAATTTTGATGAATGACCTTGAGATTGGATGCCGTCCAACTTGATTGAAAGAAAAACTGGTGCAATTGGCCCCAGACCAGCCATCATGCAAAATGCAATTTCGGAAAATGCCCCGAGTCACTCCCGGTCTACATTTTAAGCGGGAGAGTCGTCACTTGCGCACGCGCGGGAATTGAGTCCCAAGCAACGATAACAACACACACTAATAACGCAAAGGCTCATAGGTAGACGCGAGTTTATAAACAATGACACGCTATGGCCACCTGACGCATACGCAGGTGACGACTCCCCCTCTTTTACCTAGAGATGGGGCTAACTGTCCGTCTGCATGGTACAGTGTGTTTCTGCTCTTAAAAATGTGAGACGGCATCTTGGCTGAGTTAAAGATAACATCTGTGTTGATTACATTTATACCAGATCGCAGTGTGCACAAAGCAAAGAGCATTTACCAAAGTATTATGAATAAATTACGGTGGATTAGTGAGAGAGTTGACGAAGATTTGTCAAACGACCCATCAGCGAATGACCTAAGGTCAACTGTACAAAGACAACAACGAGAGGCAAATGAGTCGTTTGGATTCTTGGTTCAATTACAAGAACTACTGTGGCAAGTAGAGAATACGGAAGATATTGTCAAAGGTAAGGGGTCCATATACCATAAAGAGAAACATTTCCTAATTTACGCAAATGAAGTGTTTACAAGGTTCACACCAAACTAGTCCCATAATTTACCATTGAATTATAAAAAAAATTGTATAAATATAATTGCGAACCATACAACTAACAAACAAAATCAGAGATGGTTTCTTTATCAAAGTGGGAAGAAGATAACTGTGATATTTGTCTTATCATTTGTTATAAATAAATAAAATTACAAAGCTATCAAGTACTGAATAATATGATTATCTTGTCGGGGTGTTGGATTGGACAGTCGAACTCGAAGTACCCTGAAATAACTTTTGAAAATGTATTCGATCTGTTGGATCTTCGTTTGTTGAGTCAGTGAACAAAGTAGACATGAAACGTTTAAAACCAATCTATTTCGATATCTATCTAATCTTAACAGGCTACCGAATGTTTTTCCACAAAATTGTAGCCGCTTTAGAGCATTTTTGAATTACCTATTGTATTTTTCAAAATTGAAACTCAATTAGTACAATCTGTATTATGTAAATAAATAAAAACAACTTTATGTTCAGAGAGTCTTTTTATGAGCTATGGATTCATTACTTAAAAACTTTCACTTTGTTTAAAAGATGGTAATTGTAATATGCAATGTAGATCGGATGAGGATACGGCGTTTTGTTGACCCCTTGCTGCAGGGTTGCTTAACAAATCTACGGCGTGGTTACTACCAATAATATTGTTTAAAATACGTGTCAATGCACTTTCCTCGTAACAATACTTATCATTTGTGTTTGTACAAGTGTGTGGTACCATAGACCCTCCAGTATGGTGGTACTAACAATACATTTACAAATATTTGCATGTTTTCAGCAAAACTGGAAATGACATCACAGTCGCTCAAACAGTCACTTCAGTCGCACGTGAACATACTGCAACAGACAATGGGTGACACATTAGGAATCAGTGAAACGACTTCCGAAGTGAAGTTATCTCTGGAACGAGTTGGACGTGAGTGTACTCGTAAAAGTACTTCGCTTACACGGTTGAGAAAACTAACCTCAGACGTCGTTTCCATGGAAACTAAGATCCATGGTAAGTACAAGGTGATCGAACACCCATTGCTGCCAACTAGGTTACAATAAGTTTCTATCTTATACTTTTTATTTTATCCCAATTTTTTTATTAAAATTTAATTATAAATATTTACATATATTATATTTTGATTGACTGTTTGCAGGTAGTTTTTGTATATTTTGGTAATCTCGGAAAAATGTGACAATAGATAAAAAAATATATGAAATAAATATTATATAAAATAAATAAACAACTGCAAGACACGTGTGTGTTCGGTACTTAACCTTGATATGGTTAGCTACAATGATGTCATGTTGTCATGGTTATGTACCGCGCAGTTTTGTTTGTTTTCAGACGCCAAAAAGAATGAGTCCAGATTGAGATCTAAACTAGAAAACAAAATACTGGCAATAGGCCAAAAACTGCCATCAGTCTCGTCTTACCAGGATATAGAGATGTTTAAGAAAGAATTGAATGATATTGCAGAGGAGACGAGAATCAATAAACTTTGTAGCACAAAGTTGAAAGATATGTACCATACAGCATTAGACATAGAGAAGAGAATGGAAGGTAAAGTCATACATTATTCAACATAATGTCGATGCATTTCTCTACTTGTACACACCATAGCCGCATAATTATTATTAGTCAAGTCTGTCTTATATTTTCTTGTAAAATAATTCTGATGGAGAAATTCACATCTTTTCAATATAACGCGCCCTCTAGAGTCCGATCACTTGCGACGTGTATGGTGAACCTGAAGTGTTGTCAAAGAAAAAAAAAGACAAATAGAGCTTCACGATAAAAATGAAAAAAATAAGCATTGTGTGATATAATGTCGACAGCCGTGTTTCCTGGAAATTGGTCCGTCTTTAATAATACCATTCATCTCTTGAGGTGTAATTGCACTCTAGGTTTGACATGTTACCCCGAATCTATCTTATCACTTTTTTTTCTATTTGTTCGCGCAGAACAAGCAGCATTGAATAAAATTAGGAATGCAGTTGATTCTAAAATGAAGAAAATTGATAAGTCTGTACGCTCCATCTATCCACCAAATGTTGGTAAAGATCTGCAGGTACAGCTGGAGAAGTACAAAAAAGAGTTATCAGACCCCAAGAAAACTGTTATACAAGTAAAACGTTTAGAAAGAGACACGACGAAACTGGAAGTTAAAGTTAAAGGTAACGATTTGAATAAATATTGTGAAAGATGTTTTGATGGACGAGCTGCTCAATGATCTCGACAAATCACGTGGTGTGGTGTCACGTGCCTGAACGGCGCGAGCTGACACCCGAAACTTATAACGTACATCATGATAGTATACAGAACACAAAGTGAAATATGGTCGATGTCACATTATATCGATTATTTATTTTTTTATTTGTTCCATATGAAGTTTTTATAAGGCTATTTTTTTGTTTCCAAGAAAAAGTCGAACATATATCATTTTACCCAAAATGTAAAAACTACTAGAAATGGCGATGTTCTCACTAAATGATAGAATATCAACGTATTAAATGTCAAAGCATTGACATTCTAGAAGACTCAAACAGTAGAACATTTGCCGACAACCGACCTTGGACAATGAGTAATATACAAAGCTTAACTCGGTCAACGTCGACCGTAATATACCATTAAATGCAGCGTGTGTAGTTATATCTTCGTTTTCATGATATACCAGTCTCAGATTTCATGACAATATTTGTTTATGATCCTATGACAATGCGTTTTTGATTTGGTGACAATATCCGTTTCTTAATGTGTGACGAAGTCCATCTTTGACCTCATGACGATATCCGTCACTGATTTCCGAACAATATCTTAATTTGATTTTGGTGACAATATTCGTCCTTAATTTAGTGGCAATACCCGTTTTTCGACAAAGTCCTACTGATTTCATGACAATAATCATCTCAGATCTCGTGACAATATCCGTCACTAATTTAATAACAATATTCTAATTCGATTTTGGTGACAATATCCGTCCTTAAGTTGGTGGCAATACCCGTTTTATGACAAAGTCCTTTCTGATTTCATGACAATAACCATCCCAGATCTCGTGGCAATATCCGTCCCCCATCTCGTGTTTTGATGTTTATTGCAATTATTTTTTGCTTATTATTATAAAATCCTGTATTTTCGAAGTTTTATTCTTTTTATTTCAACAGATTTTCTTGAGAAAATCAAGCCGTTATACGTGGATTATGATATACTTTGCCAAATAGCAGAAATAGTACAACCAGTGTGGATACCGACAAATGCCGGACTGGAAATGCCGAAATTGAAGCACATTTCATTGGTACGAGACTCCGGACTCCGCGGTGATGCCAAAACGATGCTCCATGCACTCTACGAGAAACACGACAGCAAATTTAAATGGAATACTCTATTGATGATTGTTCGACGGCTTGACAACACTGGAGATGTTTACAGAAAACTGAAGGAAATTCGAGCACTTTCTGGTGAGTGTATGCATCATGCATTCAATGGCGTCCTCTCGTGACATGGCGTACATGGGTGTTAGTAACGTCGTTCAAATGAACAACTCTGATTGGATGTAAATTCGTTCATCATTTGGAAGAAATACTATCAGTAAATGCAGTATTTATAATTAAAGGAAGGCCACAGATAAAAAAAACAAAAACACGAACGCTGTGAACTAAAGTGTTCGATTGATATAAACGGTGTTTTAGTACTCAACGATTCACTATATATACGCACCGCAAAGTAACATTTTAGTAATATATATATCCAGTGTGTATATACTCAACAGCCAACGGGAGACTGTCGGAACAAAATTCAATTTCACGTATGTGCTTTTGTTACAGGGCTACAGAAAATATGAGCACGAGTCGATTTGTTTGAAATGGTAATTATATATGGCCGTCTTCAAGTTGGTTGCTATCTGTGACATCATTGACGTATATTTCATCGCCTTGTACGTTATAAGCACGCCTGTACGGGAAATGTACAATATCAAATGACCAGCGGAGTCACAGAAACCCAGTATGTAACAACGCTGCCAGTCAGCACTCACAGGAGATTCCGGCCTGCGATAGATTTCTTCAATACGGGGCCACAGTTTAGACTTGAGAACACATGAAAAATATGTGTACCAAGTTTGAAGGCAATGGCCACATGTCTTAATACGAAAATACATAAACTATATATCATGACCTTGGCCTTTGACATGAAATTGTACAGGACATTCGTGTATTATGTTTAAGTTCCTAGTCATCCCTCATGTACCTAATACTGGAAACACACAAACGTATAGTGTGAACTTGACCCCTCAAGTGCTTGTAAATCGCATGGGAAATATATGTGCCAATTTTGATGGCGCTGTTTATTCATCCCATGCGTAGAGTATGATACGAAACACATCGATACATATTGTGACTTTTGTCTATAAAATTCATCATGTCCTGTGGATTACATGGTGAACATGTGTTTGAAGTTTGAAATTCCTACCTATTCCCCTTGTAGCTCAATTGTGAAAATACGTAAACACGGGTGATGTGAGTCGAATCGCAAACATGTTGCAAATCTGAAGGCCCTGGCTATTTCTATCTGTAGTTATAACACACATACCTAAACTCATGATGTAACCTTGACCATTTACACCACAATAACAATGTGTGCCAATTTTAATGACACTTGCAATTGTTATTTTCCACATATATTGATTTTATTATTTAGCACAACAAAACATAAACACAAACTTTGACTTTGTCCTTTAACTCCATGTTAAGGAAAAAGGGGAACATTTGGGCCAAGTTTGATTTATTTTCATTTTTTCATCACTTTCATTCATATATACAAACATACAACCTACCTGCGTGCGGCTTTGCGCTGTCGCAGATAACTACGAAGGATTTATCAAAAAAATGTTGTATTCTGATTCGGGCTTAATAAAAATAATGGGGTTAGCTTACAATATTTAGAGGCATTTGAGGTTCCCAGATTGTCAATTTTATTCGGTTATTATAATTCGTTTATTGAGTAAATAAATATATATATTCCCCAACTAAGATAAACTATATGGCATGACTATCATTAATTTTGTTAGTAATAATCATAACACTATTTTCAAATCTGGGTTATAAAAAGCTGGCTTCTTTATTGTTTTGGGGGCAATTTAATAGACCATTTTCCGTTCACTGCGAGAATCACGCGTTATGCGTGAAATCGAACGTAAAAACAGGACAAACAAAGGTCATAGCGTCGTAGTCGCGTCAAACATCGCGTGGGATTCGACAAACGCGAAAATATTTCGGGGACATTTCCATGCTTAATAATGTGCTGTTCACATTTGATGATAGGCAATTTTGATGAAGTAAGGGTATTCGGAAGCAATATTCCTCTGTCGAAGATCGGCCGGTCAATGTAAGCTACGAAATAAAGAAATTCTAGTTCAAAATCAAATCGTTCGATTTTTGCGGCAGACGTTCGACGCGCGTCTTTCATGCATCCCGCGAGATCTCGCAATTGTACGGAAAATCACCTATTGTATATTATGTTCACAAACCATCGATGCGTATGCCGCAATGTTCTGTTTATATTACTTACGTTTTCTGCCGATCTCGGGTATTGGTTGAATTGTTTACAACC